GAGCAGGCGGAGGAGAGGACGATCTCCACAGAGCCGTAGTGGGTGAGCTCCCTGATCATCTCCTCGATGCACTCCTCCTCCTCGTCGACGCCTTTGATGATCTCCTCGACCTTGTTTCGGTGGGCGGCGTAGCCTCTGGCCATGGCCGCCCCGGTAATCTCGGCGCCCTTCGCCGTCGGCATGCAGCATTTCTCCACCTTGGCGCGCAGGGCCGGGGACAGGCTGCCGCCGACGGGGGCGCTCGAGGGGAAGTTGGTGCGCGCCGCGGGCCCGCTCATGAGCCACGCCGCCTCGTCGTACGCCCGCGCCGCGTCCTCCGCCGTCTCATACGAGCCCAGCCAGATCCTAGTCTTCTTCCTGCACCCACCACAGACAAAAACGCAAACACAGATCAGTACATATCGATCGTACGTGGCGAGCACCATTGACAGAAAACTGCAGACTGCACCGACAGAGATGAATATACAGTTTGCGGACGTACAGGAGAGGATGGCGGATCTCGGAGACCCAGGAGCCCCAGTGCCTCTGCCTCACTCCTCTGTACCTCTGCTGCTTCGGCATGTCGTCGGTCGGACGAGCACTGATTAACCTACCAGGCCGGCCTTGTTCTCTCGTTGCCTGATGGCAGACACGTCGGGTTTATATACATCGCGGCTCGGGGCCAGGGTCAGGAGGGCTGCAAGAGATGGACCGCGATCTTTCTTGAGATATACGCTCATCAGCGCGCGATATTATCTCATTCATCACACAAGATCGATCAGTGTCGCAAAATGTAATACCAGACATTGATGGTTCATTAGCGCAGGGTGCGTGATGAGACGACCACAAGCTGACCACAGCCTGTGGATGGATATGCTTCATTAATGTAGTGTACGTCCTGCAGATATAGATCATACATGTACGATACGTACAATAAGGTTAGCAGCAGTGCCGCGGCGGGGCCTGAGTACGGCGCTGAAATCCTATTCGTAGAGATAGAATGACGGCCATGTTACCCAGCGGACGTTCGCTCAGAGAGGATGACAAGCAAACATCATTTTATGATAGTTTTAGTTGTAAATAAAAATCAAAATATGGCAGTTTTAAAATGCAAAATGTCTTCTATGAAGAAACCCATGTCGCTCTAAAGAAACTGCCCTTCCCTCACAACTAAAAATGTCGTCTAAAACGTTTGCGCATGCCATGCCACCCTCCCTTCCGAACGTTCGCCAGTTATCTAGACCAAAGTGTGCTAATAACCATCACCCAAGTGAACGAGTACGTGTACTTAGAAAAAATTCGCCCTCCCCCATCGGCCAAACCCTCCCCACCCCGTGCCACATCCACTCCAGGGCCGCCTTACTTGCATGCCTCCGCCGGCCACCACGCGCCACCCCGGCCCCCTAGCACCCGCCGCCTCTAGCCACACTCTCCCATGCCTCGATTTTCATCGTCGCCATCGCCAAAATCAACGGATCTACGTCCGCCACCCCCGTTGTCGAATTTGACGCACCCCGTCGCCAATGCCGTCGCATTTTGCAGTGATTCAACAGGGACGGAACCGCAGCCCCCTCGGCCACTCCGTGCCGCCTCTAAGTATGTCCCCCTCCTCTTGGCGCTCGCATCACACCCGCCGACCGACTGCAGGTACAACCACGTATGCTCGTCGGCGGGCTCAACACTCACACAGAAGCTCGTCGTCTCGCCTCTGCCTATCATCAAGTGTGACCACCTCTTGTGGCTGGTGCTGCACCTCGTTTCGAGCACGGCGAAACATCCTGGATGGGTGTTCTACAAGTGAGAAAGGACGGGGTGAGTTCCATTTTGTACGGTTGTTCTTCAGATTCGTCGCAATTTGAAACTCATTGTTTGCTCAAAACTTTATGTAGGAAGGATGCAAATTTTCATATTGGGAAGAAGAGTTGTCCACCAATGTCATGCTTTCGGTAATAGGGTGGTTATCATCGAGCTTCATTTCAAGAAAGCATCTGACACTGTGAACACCACTCTATTTTGGCCATGCTCACTCATGGCTTTGATTCTCACTGGATTAACTAGATGAAGCGACTGTTAGAATTAGGTTCTTCACCGGTCTTCTGAATGGCGTCCCAGTTACTGAATTTAATTATCATCAGGATGAGCCCCTCTCCCTCTTTTGTTCGTTCTAGTGGTTCATCTCCTTCAATCAATCACAAACTTTTTCCGTGATGAAGGACTCCCCTCATTGCCCACTAATCAACCTGCAACTAAAAATTTCATGGTCGTCCAATATGCAGACGATACGATTATTGTTTTGCGTACCGATGCTAACCATCTTCACAACCTTCATGGCATCCTTGAGGCGTATGCCCACACTGCTGGATTAAAAAATAACTTTCATAAATCTCAGTTGATCCCATTAATATTGGCACCCGCGATGCTTCTAATCTAGCAACTCAATATTTAAGTGGTCATGTCCGGCCATCCCTGGTGTTGAACCTCATAACCTGTACGTGTTTCTCATGTTAAAGGTTTGGGTCGCACCAGTGCAACAGGGTAAAAGGGTAACCCTTAGGTTCTTAGGTTCGACCCTACACATGTACATAGTTGTACAACAACTTATGCTTGTGCTAAATAGATAGGGATTGCAGCAGACAAAATCATGAACTGGATTACTAGCTCATAATATTACATTTCATAGAAAGGAAACTCTCATGTTGAATTTAGAAACCAAAACTTTATGTCCATAATAATTCTGACAATGATGCAAAATTGTCACTTAAAATTCCATGAACAGATGCTTTTCATTCTACTTGGATAACTGGATCCATTTACCTGGTGCATGTCTTTTTAGGGAGCATATTAATTCAATAGTTGCTTTTATTTTCAGGATGAAGATTACTTTAGTAGCACACCTCCAGGTTCCAGGAAAAAGAACTACAAACGAGGGGGGGGCACATTTAGTGTTGCACATGCATCATCATTCATACGTATTATGTCTTTCTTGATAGCAGACAAAGAGACTGAGAAAATCAGTCCAGTGAGTTATTCGTCAAGAAGAGAACAATTCCTTATGTAGCTAGCTTCTTGTGTAGGCCAGATTCTTGTGTACCTCTGTCTTTTGTGGAACACATGTTAATGTACCAATGTTGAAAACATATGCACAACTGATACTTGTAGTGGATGGTAGTAAAATTATGAAGTTCCTAAAGTTTTAGAATCATGAACAATCCAGGAGGAGCTCCATGTTGCAAGTTATCCAAGCATTTTTTATTTATTATATGCACATTATCACAAGCCAGACCAAACAAAAGACAAAATACTCCAAGAAAAGGTGTCTAGTTATGTAGAGCAAGCAAATGAAAATACACCGGTACATAAGACCAACTGCAGAAGATCACTGAGATGATCTAACTACCTTGTATAGTTGAAAGAGTATCTGGAGCAAGTGTGAACCTAAGCTTACAAAACAGTCTAGGTCCAAAACAATCTACCGCTTCACTAGTTCAGCATTCAATAGAAACTAAAACTCATGCTCCTCGTCAAATACATGCAAAGCGAGGGTGATTAATACTTTGCTCTCTTGTAGATCAACTAGAATAGTGATTGCGCTCATGCTTTTCAGAGCAGCTACAACAAACAAGCGACTAGGGCAGCTTAGTTTACCAAATCCTTTTTTTCATGCCAGCAACCACCGGTCCAAGTTCAGCATTAGAGGCTTCCGTTTTTAGAGTTCACTTGATTTTCCACATTTCATGAAAGTACAAATTCAAGATGGGGTATGATGTACCATATGTGATAATGGTTGCATCATAAAACACTTAACACCCTACAAAGTATTGCAGCTCTTTCCCACTTAGCAGAAGATGGAGCATATGTGTAATTCAAATATCGGCTAGCCAAGGAATCAAATGCTCTTGTGTACTCCATGGCTTTCTCAATTGTTAGGTACATGGAGTTCCAACAAGTTGGTGTATCCAAAGTGGGCCACCTACCAACAAGGAGACCGACTTGAACAATGACTTCCTTGAACTCTTTTATAGGCGGTGGATGATCTCATGTATTTCACACTCTCCCGAATATTGCTGACAGTTGGTTCCACAAAATCCAACCCGTCCTAGACAATGAAATTTATCATATGTGTTGCACATCGATTGTGCAACAATATTCCACTCACCGAAAGAGCATCCTCGGCCACAAAATTGTGCTTCAATCCTGCTGCCACTGAATTATTAGATGTTGCATTATCCAATGTGATCCTGAATACCTTATCCTCAATGTTCCGTTCTTGAATGCATTTGACAGATGTTATGAGATGCGCTGGGAACAAACGACATGGATGTTGCAACTAGTGGGACTACATGCTGCAAACAAGCGGATGATATGATTAGTGGGATGACGTGCTGCGAGTGACGAGGCGAATGTTGTGACCATTGAGACGAAATGCTGAAGCTAGCAACCGTGGACGCTGCGACTAGTGGGACAATGTGCTGCAAGCGGTTGGGCGACATGTTGCAAGGGCCGTCGTGACGAGGGCGGATGTTCTGACTGTTGAGATGACATGGTACAAATGGCAGCGACGAACGCTGCCACCAGTAGGACGGCGTGCTGCAAGACTATGTCTCATCTATTGACTCAATCAAACATAAAAGGGAAAACAAAATCCTCACGAATCTCCACATAAAATCATTAGCATCGGAGTTAGATGTGACAACATAGTGCATCTAATAATCCGAGATGATTAACTCCACCGAGGCCCTGAGCTCATGCACCACTTCGTGCAAGATTACAGTGCCGTTCAAAATGTTGCCGCCTTCGATAAATATTGACTGCTTCAGATGAATCACCCTGTGAGCAAGCGGGGAAAGGTTGTTGGTGTATGCTTGAACACAAATTTGAAAGTTGGCATGAGCCACCAACAATGCAAAAAGATTGTGGTGTACGAGAGCGAATGATTGTTCATTAATTATCCTTACATAAACCAGATCACAAAACGAATCAATTTTGGGGATTTCTAGCAGAAAGAACTAGTACTAGAGTAGCTAGAGCAGGGGATTGAGCACTTGCCCTGCAAAAAGCAGAATGCCACTCTTGTCCTCCCTGATGAGGAACAGGAAGGGGTGATCCGCCACGAAGTCCACGCGAGCCGGTTCCTCTCCGTACGGAGAAAACCCAACATCATCATCAGCTTCAGTGGCCGCAGCGGCCATGGTTCCATCCTCGTTCACCTCCACGACACACTCGTGGAGCACATTCTGCACCCTTAGAGGCGGCTCTGGCTCTGCCAACTCGATCATCTCCGACCGATCGTGTGTGAAGCGGAACGGCAGCTCCGGGCCAAGACCTTGCAGCACATCCCGCGCGTCTATCTTTGATGACACCTTGAACTTTGGGATCCTCAGGTTCCCCACCTCGACGCGTCGTGCCGCCGGGACGCAGCGGGCCACGAACTCCGCGGTGCCGGAGGAGCTGATCTCGAGCAGCAGGGCCTCCAGGCCGTCGCGCTCGTCCGGGAGGTAGATGTGCATGCTGAACCGGTGGTTGCTGCCGCCTTTGCTCTCGTAGTGTAGCTGCAGGACTTTGAAGCCGGGGTGGCAGCTGATGCACTGGTCGTTTTTGCTCGTCATGAACGGCACGCGCACACGGCTCCCGTCGGTGTCGGCCAAGAAGAAGTCCCCGTCCTGGGTGTACTCAGGGTCGAACGGGTCTAGCCATGTGCCCCTCATGTAGAGCGCATTGCCGATGACAAGGGCCGTCAAGGTGGCGTCGAGGTGGCCTTCTGGCATGGGGTCTTTGATGAAGCCGCCTGTCTTGTCCTCGAACCAGCGGTTGATCTCAACCCTCGCCTCTTCCACCTTTGATTAATTATTATTAATTGGACACGACAACAAATTAAAAATACAGACAATACTATATAGCACTATGGTCGATCGACATTTTTCTTTCTATATATGTGTGGAAAAGTAGGATATGAACTAGGTTGTCGCCAGACGTATAATCAATTAAGTAGGTAGAGAACTACGTACATTCTCTCTGAATGGCATGGCTCGCACCGCGGCCTTGAACTTGGAGGCGACCTTGTCTGCGAAGGCGGACCTCAGCCGGAGCGAGGACTCCACCCAAACACCTACGGCGCACCGGATCTCAGGCTCCACGCCGTCGGCCCTGCCGAATACAAGGGTGGCCACCTCGGAGGCGAGGGCCGCATGCGCAGCGCCGCCGGAGAGGCCCAAGAAGGAGACGATCTGGTCCAGGGTGTCGCCCGTGGCACCGGCAGCGAGAAGGACGAGCACGGACTGGATAGATAGCGGGGAGATTGCCAGGTTGCGTTTCTCGCCGTCGCCGCTGAGTTGGAGGAGGAGCCGCGTGGAGAGGGCGGCCAGGTCGCTGATGACTCCGGCGAGTCCCTCCATCTCTATGGAACGGTGCTGCGTAGGGGCGGGTGTCTCGGTGGCAGTGGCTAGCTGTATCTGAGCTACTAGGAAGGGAATTGGGGCTTTATAACTCAAATTCCTTCCTCACTAAGTTCCAGGGTTTTACTCTATAACTGGTATTTATTGCCGGGAATGATATTACTTTGCCCTGAAGTTTTCTACTCCCTCTGTTCACTTTTGTAAAACCTTTTAGACATTTACGGCAACACCTAAAACAGTTCAATTTCAGCTGTCCTAAACGACTTACAAAAGTGAATATAGGGGGTAGAATAAATGGATTTTATTTTCTTTTTATCAGCAAATAAACAACGCGCGACATGTCACCGATCTTCTGAGCGTGCGCACACTAGACAAAGCCGATCAGTCGGCTAACGATCGCCGCGGATCGGGCAACCGTCACCCTTGATCACGGTCCTGTCTTTATTTCTGTGGAGATGATTAGTCGCCAATTGTTTATGTGGAACCTCTCATTTCCTCACTTAAATGTGTTATCTTAACCTTTTGGATATGGTGACCCCAATGAAATAATTCAAAATGATAGGGTCTGGAGGACCAGGTGGACGATGGAGAGGATGGAAGACACCATAGGGCGTGAGGGAACAGTCGGGAAGATCGATCCCGAAGCTAGCTGATGAGAGCACGGCATTGTCATGCCAGCCTGCGTGGCCACCGCATGGCATGGCGCTCTGAGGGCTTGTAAGCCTAGAAAAAGTTGTCTGGGAGATCTACCCTACATATTGGAGCTCCACTATGGGCGTGGTTTGACTAAAGCACCTTTGTGCTGATCGGTTACATCAACTGAATTTTCTGGCAGCAAGTGTTTGTAGTGAGTTGGCGGAGGCTCATTTGGGGAGAGAAGTTGATATTTGGCTGCGGTTGATCGCTCACTAAGGTGGCAATCTTGGCTAAATATCAGCTCAAATGGAGGGGTCTAACTAGCACTTCCTTCACAAACTGCCCACCGGACAGGAAATGAAAATGGAAGTTGTGCTAAAATGCCTTGATGGATTGAACTGAAATTTGGTGGAGAGTGACGATTTGGGCATATGGAGGCACTGTAAAAAGTTCATACCATTTGGACAATTATAAATGGTACTTCCTTCACAATGATTCCTGCTAGACAGAAACTTTGGGAATTTTCTGAGGAAAATTGGCTAGATGAAATTAGCCCAAATCTTGTGGAGGAAAGTAATATGGGTGGTAGAATGTTTTAGTAAAATTTCAGTAATTATGGGGCAATAGAAAATATAGTTGCTTCACAACCTGAAAATAAGTCCGGAAACAAAGATTGGATGGTGTGCTCACCATGAGCATGAAATCTTGAATATTTTTACATCTCCAAGGTCCATATGAGTCAAAGTATTTATGAGAATTTTGTGGGAATTTTGGGAATGACAGAAATATAGGTTGCTTCCCAACCTAGGGCAAACAGGATTATTCCTTTAATAGAAAAAGGAATATTATGAAGGAATAGAATTTAGGGTTGGGCTAGGATGGAAATGACATGATTCTGGGAGAGATTTGAGAGGGTTGAACCACTTGGGAGAAGAAGGAGAGATGATCTTCCCAAGTTTCAAGAGCACAAAGTCAAACCAAAAGGAATCCAAATAAAAAATCCAAAGAAATTCAAAAGAAAAGAAAAGAAAAGAAAAGGGCCAAAAATGAGGGTGTTACAAATGTCATTTCAATCCCCCTCCTTGTGTAGGTGCGGGAGTGGGTTGGCGCCACCCGGCTGGGGAGTTGCACGGGCGTCAGGTGCATCAGTGTGGCCATGGACCTTCGTGGTGGCATTGGCACGGTGAGCGGCATGGTGTTGGTGGTGGTGCATGCTCGGGATGGTGGCTTCGGCCTCGGTTGTATCTAGGGTGTCTGGATGCAAGGCGGCGGTCTTGGTGGTGGCAGTTTTGGTGCTCGTGAGCGGAGCTCGCGGCTCGGGTGTTGGCTGGATAGATGCCATGGCCGCAAGGGTGGCATGGAGGCTAGTCATCGATGTTCTACGGTGGTGGTGTAGCATGCGTTCTCGTGACGGGGTGTGCCCTAGTTCAGAGGCGAAGGGTGTTGTCCGGGGTGAAAACCTTGTCTGTCTTTGGCCAAGCCGATGGCGTCCTTGGGTTCCACCCCCTTCTTGAAGGCGTCACCACGATGGCCCTTTGTCCTTCATGTTGCTCAAGGTGAAAACCTCGATCCTTTGGATCAGGCAGTGGCGGTGCTCCAATGGCGTGCCCTTCTTAAAGGCACCACTTTGGAGTCCATGGTCCGTTGTCGTTCGGTTTCATCTCTTTGCATGGCCCATTCACGATTGAGAGCTCCATCAACTCCTAGTGATGCTCTATTTGTCCACTTGTTGTTTGCTCAAACTTGTCTAAGGTGGTCTTGCCATTCGTCAGCTCCTTCGTATCGTGTCTTGGGTGTGTGTGCCTGTGATGGTGTGTTGTATACGGATGCTTGCATGATGGTTGTTGCTTTATATAAAAAGATAGGTGAAAGCCTTTTATGATTGACCGGTGGATGCAACAACGGAAGTCCAACGCCGTGGGCATTCGGGGCATGCGCCACCATCGACACCTGAGAGGAGGTGGCTCTGTTCGAAGGGGAATGTTGGGTTCGGTTTAGTTGAAGTAAACCAGACAAAAAATTCCAAAGAAAAATAAACCATCAACATGGCATGCGCAATCAACAGAGAGACGGGAAGTAAAATAAATTCAATTAAGATGGGGTAATTTGTGGCACAAGTTTCACTGTCACAAACGAAACTAGTAGGACGTAAAAAATGAATTGCACTCTCATTATTACACACACCAGACCACAATACGAACTCATTTTGTAGCTACTACCTCCTTTCCGGTTTATAGGGCTTATCTCAAAACTTTCGTTTTTCGTTTTATAAGTCTCATTTCTATGGCTTCCCAGCACACAGTCAGATATCGAGGTGCATTAAATCACTGCATGCAAGGATTAAATGAAAAACTCATCAATGCATGTAAAAGTTCTTAGTTATTTATTGGTCACACATGCATGTATTGCAATTAATTCATTGGAGAACACAATTATTTGAGAAAAATCGAGTGCATTTATTAAGTCCTTTTGCAAACTATCAAAATTATTCCACCACTCATGAGATTTTTTAGTTGAAAACCCTGCTATCCACTTGTGTATGTTACTATCCACGGTGGCTAGTCTAAACCGGTAAGGAGGGAGTAATTGACTTCTAGCAGAAGAACAGTACTGGTGGACTAGCTAAAGCAGGGGATTGACCACTTGCCCGGCAAAAAGAACAATGCCACTTTTGTCCTCCCTGATTAGGAACAGGAACGGGTGATCTGCCACGAAGTCAACATGAGCCGCCGGTTCCTCCTCCCCCGTGATGGAGAACCCCATCATTAAATCAGCTTCAGTGGCCGCAGCGGCCATTGTTCCATCCTCGTTCACCTCCACGACGCACTCGTGGAGTACGTTCTGCACCGCTACAGGCGGCGCTGGCTCTGAGAATTCGATCATCTCCGACCAGTCGTATGTAAAGTGGAACGGTAGCTCCAGACCAAGGCCTTTCAGCACATCTCGCGCATCTATCTTGGATGACACCTGGAACTTTGGGATTCTCAGGTTCCTCACCGCGACGTGTCGTGTTGGGACGCAGTGGTCCAGGAACTCGGCGGTGCCGGAGGAGCTGATCTCGCGCACCAGGGCCTGCAGGCCGTTGCGCTCGTCGGGGAGGTAGATGTGCATGCTGAACTCGTGGTTGCCTTTGCTCTCGTAGGGCAGCAGCAGGACTTTGAAGCCGGGATGGCAGCTGATGCGCTGATCGTTTGTGCTCGTCATGAACGGCACGCGCACACGGCTCCCGTCGGCGTCGGGCAAGAAGAAGTCGTCGTCCAGTGTGTTGTAAGGAATGAACGGATCTAGCCATGTGCCCCTCATATAGAGCGCGTTGCCGATGACGAGGACCGTCGAGATGGCGTCGAGGTGGCCTTCTGGCATGAGGTCCTTGATGAAGCCGCCTGTCTTGTCCTCAAACCAGCGGTTGATCTCAACCCTCGCCTCTTCCACCTTGATTAATTAGTTGGACAAAACAAATTAAAAATACAGGCAATAGCGGTATGATCGTGGTGTAGGATAGGAACTAGCTAAGCAAGATCTGAATTACAGCAGAAATTAAGAGAAATGCTGTTGCCAGACGGATAATCAATTGAGTGGAGAATTACGTACATTCTCTCGGAATGGCATGGCTCGCACCCCGGCCTTGAACTCGGAGGTGACCTTGTCTGCGAAGGCGGACCTCAGACGGAGCGAGGACTCCACCCAAACACCTACGGCGCACTGGATCTGGGGCTCCACGCCGGCGTCCCTGCCGAATACAAGGGTGGCCACCTCGGAGGCGAGGGCCGCATGCGCTGCACCGCCGGAGAGGCCCAGGAAGGAGACGATCTGGTCGAGGGTGTCGCCCGTGGCACCGGCGGCGAGAAGAACGACCACGGAGTGGATAGACAGCGGGGAGATGGCCAGGTTGCGTTTCTCGCCGTCGCCGCTGAGTTGAAGGAGTAGCCGCGTGGAGAGGGCGGCCAGGTCCCTGATGGCTCCGGCGAGGTCCTCCATCTCCAGGGAGCGGTGCG